CCCACACAATATGCTAAGTTATAAACTGTGCTTTATAAATCACAATGGCTTGGTTCACACAGGAGATGGTTAAACAAGACAACTAATTCAGATATTTTGCCTTAATAGAACAAATTGCGTTAAGCCAGTCTTCTTCAACCTGGTACCCTCCAGTTTCATTGGACCCCAATTACAAGCATGCAGTTATGGATGTTGCAGTTCAACACATCTGGATGACATCTGGTTGTGGAAAGTTGGCCTAGCTTCTTAGTAGGAGCCTGATACACATAGACAGTTCTGTGTAAGACAATTGCACTGGAAATCATGCTTCAAATCAGAAAGTGAGCTCAGAAAGAAGAGTTTTAAAATGCAGTTAACCAGTAGCTTTGTCTAGTTAACACTTAACCATTCTGAGTGATTGATTAACAAGGATACTTCTCCTTTAGTCCATGTGATTCTGCACCTATTGCCAAGTATGATTAGAGGTGTCTCATGACATATGATCCTCCTAAGATTCTTGGTCTCAACTGAAGAGTCATTTGGGGTCTTGTGCCCAATGTACCTTATAAGCATCTCTGACCTACTACATCTAGTTTATGCCTGCACTCTATGGTCCACTGACATCTTATCATGTCTATCTCTCCCCATTACCACCCCATAGAAAGAGTTCCAAGTATTGTATTATTAGGAAAAATCGTAACTAACTTCAGCTCAGATCCCCAAGATCAGTGCTTTTAACTGGTAGAAGAGATGTAAACTGAACCATGTATTTCAGTAAGAAGAATTTATTGCTCCATTGACCAGACAGAGACAAAAAAGTGAGAAATGGCCACCAAGCATAACACAAGAATTAACTTTGCCAAATCAGGTGGTGCATTCATCTAAACCAGCTTCCTGTTTCTGTTACTAGACTGTTTCAGAAAATACAGACAAGATGGGCTTTTCCTACTGTTCATCCTCAGCAACTCATGTTTCTGAACACGTGAACTTCTATCTGTTCTGGCTTGGATGCCAATTGGGCAGAGTCTATGGTGATGAATGAGAAAATATCTTGTGGGGTTATTTGGGATTCTTTTGAGTTTGTCAAGACTGAGAAAGTGAATAGGGTCCTCAGTAGTCTGAATGCCACCACCTGTGGAGAGATCCATGCTCTCCCTGGTTCTTCTGGGGCATCAGACAGGGCATGAATAGATGGAACTAGGAGATTATGAGTACTTCACTGGGAAGGGCATAGTATCACCTGTGCCATCTCCTGAGAAAGTTCATCCTGCATGTGGCTATCTTTTCTGCCCAGTTTCCAACCTTCTCAGATATTTTGGGTCATTCTTAGTCAGTATTCAGGCTTGGTCATGGGACAGAAACAGCAATGGTTGCTCTGGTCGATGACCTATGTTTGGACTGAGATTGCAGAAGTGTGCCCCTATTAGACTTCTTGGTTGTGTTCAGTATCATAGACCATGATGTCATTCTGGATCCCTCACAACAGTTGAGAATTGGGGCATCATTCTTTGGTGGATTCACTCCCACTTAAGTGGAGGGTTCAGGTAGGGTTCATGGGGGAGCAGTGATTGAACCCTTGGCTTCTCCTGGGCTTGATCCTCTCCTTCATGTTATTCAACATTTATATTAAACCACTGAGGGAAGTCATTCATTGGTTTAGGGTGAAGTTTCATCAGTATACAGATGATACCCAGCTATACATGATCACCTTGAACTGGTGCCAGGAGACTGTAAAAATCTGGATGGGGCAAAACAAATTAAATCCTTCCAAGATGGAGTTGCTGTTTGTCAATGAACATCTCAGCAGTCTAATAACAACAATTCTGGTAGTTACTCTTGATGGAGTCATAGTCCCCCCTGAAAAAGTTTATGTCTTGCAAATCATCCTGGAGTCTCAGCTCTTGCTGGAACAGCAGGTAGAAGTCATGGTGGGTGTATGATCCTATTTTGACCAGGATGCCATAGTGACAATTACTCATGCCCTGATCACCACTCTGTTAGACTATCATAACATGCTCCATGCAGAGCAGCCTTTGGAGATGACTCAGAAGCTGCAACTGGTACCAAAAAAAATGCCAAAATTGTTATGCCATCAGTATATAATAACACAGGTTTTAAAGTTCCTACACAGGTTACCAGAAGACTTCTGGACCCAATTCAAAGTGCTGATTATTACCTTCAAAGCCCTTCATAGGGCAGGAACAGGTTATATCAGGCAGTGCCTTGCCAAAATCTGCCCTTCCAGTTAGGATACCTAAGGAGGAATTGTTAAGGTTCCAGCATTTTGTGAGGTTCATGAAGCACGGACCAGACAACAGGCCCTCTTAGTGATGGCTCCCATTTTTACTGAGTATTATTATTTTCATTGTGTTTTTATTGCATAATATTTTGAACTATCATAGGCTGAGAGTCCATATGGATTGGGGTAACCTATGTAAATAAATAAATACATTTGCTATCATGATTCATAGCTACTGATAGGTCTCTCCTTAATCACATTCATGGCAGGGTGAAGTGAGCAGAAAAACAAGCAGGAAACAAATGAGCAAACAAATGAACAAAAAAATACAAGCAGAAAGGTTAAAATGATTGTGCAACTTATCTTATTGCCTGCCCATCAGAAACTCTGCTGGCTGTCATGACCGCATAGAGGAAACTAATGTAAGATCAATGTAATTAAAATGTATACTATATTGAGACTAATGTATATTTTAAGAGGGATTCCAATGTTAACCCCTACTGGACATTTTACATTTTACACAAATAGGCAAACTAATGAGAAAAGTAATATTTACACATTGCTGGAGAGTAGGCTTTTTTTTATCATCATGTGCCTGGTTCCTCCCATTGCCCTCATAAATCAGCAGTGCCTTTGAAAAGAATGTCACAAGACATTGTCCTAGGAGGTGTTCATTTTCATTTCATTACACTGCAGCAAAACATGCACAAAAGTAAATAGAGAATAAAGGTAAATAGAGAACATGCATAAAGGTAAATAGAGAAAGCCCCACCCCGAGCATCTTTGGAATAATGTAAGGGCTTAAATTTAAATTTCACAGATTAATACAAATATTGCTTTGACAAACAGAAAAAAGGCATCTGTGATTTACATGTCATAACTAAACAAGTTTATATGAAAAAGACACAGGAAACAACTGTCAGAAGTCAGTAGCACGGCCATATCTGCATTATGTGCTAGATTATTTCTGGATGTAGTATGTTGTACAAACCCAGGTAAAAGTGTAATTAATAAAAAGTGCCTAAACTGTGGTTCTTAGCAAGCTGTCTTACAGGCTTAGTCCTCTCAACTTCAATTCCTCATAAAATAACTGGGAAGTTACTTTAAAATCAACAGTATCCTGACCTCTGGATTCAGAGAGGAGGCTAGAGCAGCTAGAAAACTGGGTTGCTTTCTTCTCCAGCCCTTCTCACGCAGACACTTACAGGCAGAGGGGAGATGGGGACGCAAAGGGGGCAGAGAAGCCGCTGTGTAACATGCTATTCGTGGTGGCCCCAGTGCCCATCAGGCAACCCCAGAGGCACACTGCTTTGTTTTCACAATCGGTTTTTTAAAAAGGCAAGGAAACGTCAGCCTGCCGACCATTGCAAAAGCAGCTGGGGTACCAGCCAAGACAGCTGCTTCCAAGCAAATCAAAACTACCCTTCGTTTGCTGGGTCAACTGGCACTAGGTCACTGGATACACTTACTCGTGGACTGAGCCAGAAACAGTTGAGCATGACATATGAGCACACTATTTGCACTGTTTGGAATCACTTTGAACTATAAAGTGGTTTGATTCTGACACAGTATCTTTGATAAGCTCTTAACTCATCTTTTACTATTCTCCCCCTTGTTCCTTAACAACTCTGCATGGTACCTAATACTTGTTTCGCAGAGCTGTGTTCTACAAAACCTTATACAATGAATTGTTGCCTTTTAAGTTGCCCTAGACCAGTGTTTTTCAACCTTGGCAACTTTAAGATGTGTGGACTTCAACTCCCAGAATT